ATGGTAATATTGTATCATAGTTACGTCATTATCCTGTATAGCTTGCTAAATTTGTGTTTAATTATCAAGCCTTAAATTTTCATCATGATTCGCTACAGCAAAGAAGAAAGAACGAAAATTCTGCAAACCTACATCAGGACGATGTCAATAACAGAAGTTCAACGTGATTACAGGATCCATTTTAAAACAAGAATCAGTCCTTCAAAAAAGACAATTAAATCTCTTTATCGAAAATTTGCGGATGCCGGGAATGTTAATGACAAACCACGATCTGGAAGAAAAAAGTCAATTCGAACTGAAGACGCAATTCAAAGAGTTGCTGTAAGCATTACAAATAATCCCAAAATCTGCAACAGAAAACGTGCTTCTCAATTAACCATTTCTCAATCGACATTATGCCGCATTCTGAAAAAGGACTTAAAGTTGAAGTCCTACAAAATTCAATTGACTTAACAGTTATTGCCTAATGATCATCACCAGCGTCTTGAATATTCCGAATCCTCTCTTCGTTTGTGCGAGGATGCCACTTTCTTCGAATACATCATCTTCTCTGACGAAGCCCACTTTCACTTAACTGGTCATGTAAACAGACATAATTCTAGAATTTGGAGCGATGAAAATCCACGAAATCCAAGAAAGACCGCTGCATTCTCTTCGTGTTACTGTGTGGTGCGGAATATCAGCTTCACGTGTTTATGGACCTTACTTTTTTTGAAAATGATAACGCAACTGTAACAGTCACTGCATGGTGAAAGGTACCGCTTGATGATAAGAGAGTTTCTTATTCCAGAACTTGTTAGACAAAATGTTCACCACACTTGGTTTCAACAGGATGGAGCCACCGCACATACGGCAAGAGAAACGATGGCATTGTTAAAAGATTTCTTTCCAAATCGTTTGATTTCACGATTTGGTGACATTCCTTGGCCCCCTCGTTCTCCCGATATGACCCCATGCGACTTTTTCTTATGGGGCTACCTCAAGTCACGAGTTTATGTAACACATCCAACTAATTTACGAGAACTTGAAAACAACATTTATCATGAAATAGCTGCACTCTCGCCAGAATAACTAATGAAGGTTATGAAAGCAACGAAGAGAAGAGCCCTATTTTGTCAAAACAATTGTGGTGGGCATTTGAAAGATATTATATTTAAAAACTAGGATACAATATTACCATAAAAATGTTCTTCTTTTAAATAAAACAAGTTTCAACTTCATAACGTTCTTAGTTTTTTATTTATTAGCAAATTAAAAGGGTTAGTTAATTCTGGTATTAATGTCACACGGACATTTTGTTCCGACATTTTAAAATTATTATTTTCGTTGCCGAATTTCATCTGAAAATCGAACTGAATATTAAATGAATTATATATCGGAAATTATGCATTATTTGAGAAAATTATTCAAACTATTTTCTGATGTTAGCTAGGAAAAAACATCAAATGAATCATTCTCTGTCTGCTGATTGAAAATGTGTGGGGTTCTATCTTTCTGATAATCCGGCCACTCTGCATTTATTTTACTGAAATATCCGGTCTCCGGTTACGCTCAGTCCCGTGGGACTAAAGAAATAAACCCAGCGTAAATAAATGAAATTTCGCTATTATTGGTTGGTAGAAAATCTCTCAACAACTTGATATTTCAGCCGAGAAAAAAAAATTCCTTGAAACGCAAGATTTATTTCTAGTAAATTTTAATTGAATTGGCCTTGTGTTTCTATATTTTATTCATCACTTGAAAATGAAGTGTCTACTTCATTTTCAAGTACCAGATAAACGTAATTTTTTCCCCATTTAAATAGACTTTCCGAAAAATTACGTTAAACAATTAATGATATTTTTTGGTATGAAAATTTGCAGCATAAGATAAAACTTTCTATTTTCGATGACCAGTATTATTATTAGTGATCTCCATATGCGAGGCTTGAAAGTGGCTAAAATATCATGCGGAAATGGCAAGAGTATATATCAGCCTCTCTCTCTTGCACTCTTGCCTGGATTGCCAGAAGTATTACTGAATAGACGAATTTCAAAGGTACTCTAAAATTCAAGTGTTATTGAAATAATACTTTGCTTCATTTAAATAACACTATTGTCATAGCGTGCAGCGTCTCACAGCTGCAGAAGCGGCCTCCTTTCATCCGCAGCTCATACGGTCGCTTTGATCCGAGCTTTAATGCTTCCAGTTTATACAAGCCCGGTGGTCTTTATTTATAGAGCTATTACAGCTATTTTATAGCACTGATGGCGCTCGCATACTCGTATTATCAAACGCATATTCTTATTTATTGAGTAATTGGGCGTCTCGTTCCTTGTTGAAAATCTTGGTAGTCGTTGCATGTGTTACAGTTGTATGTAGCCCGCACATAAAGTGTTGTTAAAAATAAATTCGTCTTGCGTTATCTGAAAATTTCTGTATAAATTTCAGTTTTTAAGCAGAATACATTTATTCTAGTGTAAACGTTCCATCAACATTGAGTTTTTCTATGTCAATGAATTAAAGAAAGAGTTAATGAGTTTTCTCTGAAAATTGTTGTGAACTTTGCTATTTTGGATTTTCCAATACCACAGTCCTAAATTTAACTAGCGTGAAGTGAAACAAATAAAATGTACTTTTACATAAAATGTCAACGATAAGCATTATTAGTGCATGCAATGGATATGAATTATTCATTCTAGGCGAGGATCAATCTTGTTTCGCAAATCACGTCGCGTGACGACAGTTGCGGAAGAAATGTTCAAGTTTTTGGGGTGATATTTCCCGACTCCCCAATCACTAACTACCTTCAAAAATTTCCTCCATCCACCAAGCTCGTGTGTCATCTTGTGATTAGGTTTTTTGTTGGTATTGTGCAAGTTCGTGCCGAAAAAAAGTTCTAATTAGGAGGACATGGCAAATCCTGCCTTCCGGGAGCCTAACATGCAGGATTCTTTTTATGGTGCAGTCAGTCATTAGGGATTCTGGCCGCGGTGGGAGAATAGGTAAAGAGTTTTTTGTAGCGACGTAAACGCGCTGTGTTCAAGACATAAAATCCGTCGAGTTGCGAGGATGGCGGCAAGCTTTAATGGGCATATAATAGTTCTATGCGGGGTAATTCGGCTACTATCTTGTAAGATTTATTATAATTAGTAAAGATATTTTGCCAGATATTTTTA